GAGAGTAAAGTTTGGAAATGATAGCCTCTCTCTCGGTAAGCTGCTGTCGGAATTCGGAGACTCTGATTCGAGATCGAGAAACCAAACAAATCCAAAGATAATGAAGAAGCAGTGGTCCGATGATTCTGGCGTCGTAATGGTGATTCCGGCAACGTTATGTGATCCGACGTCATTATGATGGTTACGGTGGAGGTCCATTGATGGTGATGGTGGCTGAGATTACCTCAAGAGATACGTAGAGAGAGAAGTAGCAGAGATATATGTAGAGAGAGAAATGTAGAGAGAGAAAGAAGAGAGATACGTAGAGAAAGAATGTCTAAAAAATGTTCTCAGTTGTTCTCAATATAAGAAATATTCTCATTTGAACATATATATATATATATATATATATATATATATATATATATATATATATATATATGTATATATATATATAAAGGAAAAGAACATATTAGCCATTGAATTTGTCACGTTTGTTTTAAAAGATCAATCAACTATTTTTTTTGTACATTAAAATAATGAAGTTACATTTGACCGTTTTAAAATGTCCTTATACCCTTGATAGTCGGTGTCAATGTAGAAGATGCCACATATAAAACTTACAAAATTACAATTATTTTGACTTTTTCGTATAATAAAGCGCACGTTGTCTTCTTTGCTTTTAGTTTCACACCCTTTTTTCATTATTACATATATTCTAGACACATATTTTCATTCAGTATTGGTAGACAAGTACTAATGGTGAGATAAATATTTTTTTTTATCTTTGTTTGAAGATTTCGAGTAAGCTATCAGGAATTATAAGAAAAAAGTAGACAAGAGAAGTGTTTAAAGATTAAAATATTATATATAAGTGATAGAAATTTTAGTTGATTATCATTAAGAAAGGGAAAACACTAGAACACAAATAAAGAATTTAATGGAAAATCTCTGCTTTGCAATCATTAGCGAGCCGGAAGAAAGTGGTGTAGACAAAATGCTTGCCGACGAGTTCCGCCGATTTGACTTGACCGAGCCAATTCTAACAGGTTTGGTCGAAAACAACAGTCTCATCGGAGATTTGACCACCATGTCAACTTCTATAGCGGGAGAACCTTTCTTCATAGACCCCTCAATTTTTTTCCAGAGAAAACGACCCTCTACTTCTCCATCACCAGCGTTGCTCTGTCGTTGCTCCCACTTTGAGGGGTTTTCTTTGCCTGTTCTGCTTTTGGTACCCATGTACTCTACTGTGGTTTTAGAGAGATCTGATTCGACGGTTTTGCTTTCGGTTTTTCGGGAACTAGCTTTTCTGGGACATTGGGATTCCTAATTTTACCAAACGTTCTCCGCTGCCTAAAATTAGACAAAGAGATTTGTTGATTCGGGATATAACACCTTGAGAAAAAACTAGATGCATGAGCTCTTTGTAATTACCATGGAGGAGGAAGATAAAAGAGATAGTGTGTGTTTATGTGAGTTTGGATCTCCATTCAACCTGCAGAGAGATGGAATGGGGAAGAAAAACAAGAGAGTGCGATTAGGCACACATACTACCTATCAACTCGGTATCAGGTCACATAAGGATATTTTAAAACAGGAAAATGTGACTTCATTGTCTTGATGTACAAAAAGTTGTTGGGTGACCTTTTAAAACAAACGTGACAAGTTCCATCACACAACTTCATGTTGGGCGTCTGAAACCTCTTTTGAACTTCAATGTCACATATAGGAGGTGCAAATCTTGAGACCGTATGGCTGATAGGTGAAACCTTGGGTATAGGTTGTATGAAGTTTGGAACACTCGAGATCATATCTCTTAGCTGCCTGAGTTCCTTCACCATGACTCGAATTATCCTCGGATCTTGGGTATTAGACGGGATGTTGAATATCGCTCCATGATCTTAGGAGGCAGTACCTCCGGTGCTAGGAGTTACATCGTTTATGAAGATGGTCGCATGTCTTAATATGAAGTCTCCGAGTTGGCGTTTTGAAGATGCATCGGTTTCAATGTTCAGGATCTTGGGCTGCAAGAATAAATATGGAGTTGGTGTAGTTTCCATATGCCTTAGTCTGAGCTTAATCTCTAGATTCTTTCGAAAATCATCTTGTTGGATTCACTTTGTCCAGTGAAATGTTGGTCCATTGTAGTCAGCATGGATACGATCTCATTGTTCGAAACCATAACAAATATTTCTTGGGTTGCACTTCCTGAATATTGAACTGGTGAATATATTAAAACATTTCTTCCAGGGATTTCAACATTCCTTCATTGTGGGTTGATAGCAGGAGGTGGGGATAGGCTTAAACCAGTGGAGATGGATGGAATAGTGCTAGAAGGGGAAATTGGTAAAGAAGACATTTTTAGTGCAAAATGTGCAAGTTATTGAAAATTTGAAAACACCGGACTAGCAAGAAACTACCCGGGAAAAGGATTAAAAATTATATAATAGCAAAATTCGGATTTTGCAACCACCCTACCCATAGTGTAAAAAAATGTATCATGGTCATTAAAAAAACGTGTAGTAGCATATAATAACAATATCAAATAACTCTTCTTTCGCGAGCATCATTTTATCACCAAAAATAGTGGAATTGTGATATCTTCAAATGTGCCACCATATGGTAAACATAATAGCTTCCACGACGTTAATCTTCGGGTTAGACACCCGAACCAACACCAAAATGATAAAAAAAAAAAAAAAAAACTTTCGGTATCGAAACGGAGTATGGCATACATAAATTACACAAATTAATGATTATACATATAATACAAGGTGTGAACCCGTGTACTACACGGGTTGAATAAAAAAATTATATAAGAAGATATAAACTTTTTTTAACCATATAACCTTTTTTTACTTTGTCAATAAAAAGCAACAAATTTTGATTATTTTTTCTATATAGACCATTTTGCCTAAAATGACAATAAACTTTGAAAAAACATGTCAATTTTGAATTATATATATTGAAGGAAACGTATTAAAATTTGAAAATATAAGAAAAACAAATTAATGACACATTAATTACTTTTTATAACCTAAAAATTAAATAGTTAATTAAGAAAATTAAAAATTACCATAAAATGACGAGTGAAAATTAATTTCTAAGAATTAACCACAAAATTACATGTGTCAATGAATGAAAAATGGCACTGACAAAAGGATTTTCATTTATTAGTATGAATTATTGACCTAATAAGTGTTGTGTTTTCTCTTGATTAGAAATTAAGAATAGTAAGAAACATGTAATGAATGAAAGATTTTCGTACATGTGAAATTAGGTGACCCTCGTGTATGCCTTTTGCGTAGTTACGTGCTATGTCATTATCACAAAAAATAAAGTTAAAATTATATATTCGTTACCGTAAAAATGTTATTTTAAAACATTGTTATGGAACAAAAAAAATTAATAAAACATTAAAAAAACGAATTAGATAACATTATCTAAATAGAAATCACACCACTTTCGATTATTACATGCAATTCATGAGGTAAGGTTGATCTACGTGAAAATCTAACGAATAAAAACCAAAATTCAATGATAATTAAAAGAAAAAAAATGAATGGTGCACATCACTGATCACTTGTCGCATTTTCATGCTTAAAATCTTAAAATGGGCACCATCAAGTATTCCACGTAGTAGAGCTGCAAAAAAGAACAATGAGCATGATCCGTTAAAATAGTTACCATTTATGGTCTCACGGTCGAAATAAATAATAAGATTATATTAAAAAATTCGAATTAAAAAACTGTCTTTTAACTAAAAAATTTGTTTTTCGCAATTGATAACTAATTAACAATATTTGTTAAAAAAAAGCTAGTAAATTATAATTCAAAATGTAAAATGGCATTGCATATATAATTATAAACGATTTGACACAATATTTGTTGATATACTATTTCAAATGCTTATAAAGCTTCAACTTATATACTTCATTAAACAAAAGGAGATAAAGAATCAGAAAAGTTATTGCCAATTGGTATTTTAGATTTTATATATATTTTTTTAAAACTTTTTTTAGTTTACATTGTGACAACTTTTTGCCAAGTTTTTTTATACGATTTGATTACAACGTTTTTTTAGAAGTTAGTTTACTTAAACAATTTGTAAAAATGAATATGTAATAAAAATAACTTTTACAAGTTTATTATACTATATGCATAAAAATAATAAAAAATTAATTTGAAAAAAACAATTATTTGTTGAAACAAAATAGTATTTAATAAATTTGTAGGAACCACATATGTTAGTACTTTGGGGAATAGTTATAAAAAGATGTAAAGATGTAAAAAAAAATATAAAAAACCTAAGTTTTCTAAAACATGCAAATTACACGAAATTATAGAATAAATACTTTTAAAAAAGTTTGAATTTATATTGGAAAATCTGAGAAAAACCTCAACGAGAACGAACACGAACGAGGTTGTTTATGTTCGTTCGTTTAAGTTGGTCGAACAAACGAACGAACACGAATGGATAAACGAACGAATTTTTTTGCTCATGTTCGTTCGTTTAACAAATTATATTGTTCATGTTCATTCGTTTATGTTCGTGAACATGCCAAAAGAATATAAACGAACAACATATATAAACATAAGCAAACAAATAATATAGTAATGTAATCAAACACAATTGAACATATATAAACGAACATAAACGAACGTTCACGAACATAATCGAACAAACAAGATCATTGTTCATGTTCTTTCATTTAACTAAACGAACGAGAATTTATGTTCATATTCGTTCATTTTATAAATAAACGAACATAAACAAATTCTCCGCCGAACGGTTTATGAATAGTTCGCTGAACATTTGGTTCATTTACAGCGTTACCCTTGATCAATAATATGTTGTAAGATAAGTGTACATGAGAATAAAGAAATGGATTATATAATTCTAAATATATTTTCTCAAATTATATATAAAATATGAAATGGTATTTTCTAAGAAAATAATAAAACTAAATTCAAAGATGATACAAGTATTTACCTTCCAAATAAACAAATAGAAGGATTCAATAGCCGCGTTGCTTTTTGAGATCAACCAGGTTTGCTTCTCTCCAAAGTATAAAACCGAGAATGCTATGACCGATTACCTATTCACCATATTTACAATGTAAGGTTTCTAGTTTTTTGCAACCATCATTTATTGATGATTGAATGCAGTCATGCATAGCTTAAGTTTTTTTTTATCGCCTTAGGTATACCTCTGTCATCATTAAGTCACCCTGATAAATATATATATTTTAAACTAAAACTTATGATAAACTTGGTGTACCTATTAAAAATCAATCTATATTTGGCATTTGGGAAAAAGTATAGTAAAATTTAAATGACATATAAGTAATCATCAACCATATGCAAAATTATTTCGTTAAGTATCTAACAAAGAAATAAAATCTAACAAAGAAATTACCTTGAAATTAATGAAATGAAAAAAGGGACGGGTGATACAAAATGAAGGCAAAGTATCCAGCCCAAATCTCTTCTCCACTTGGTTTGGTCGTACGAATACCTATATATATTAAGACAAACATAATAGCTAAGGTTCCCGTCGAATCTATGATCACAAGTTGGATCAAACGCCGGCCGTAATGGTAAAAATCATGTCCACTTGCTGAAAAGTGTACATCATAGTGTTAGAATCAAAAGTCACGGATATTGGAAATCTTTCTTCGGCCTTTGCGGTTTGGCTTAGAGATTTCGCTACTATGCCAAACATTATTTTTATGTGCAAGAATGAAGGGTTTCTAGATGTCATCTAAAATATTTTGTAGGGTTTTGGATTTTATAGGAGTATGAGTCTTTTCGGGTCTTGGATAGATTTTAATGTCATGATGGTGTTAATTCTTGCTTCCCAGCTCGTGATCTGCTAATTATTTCTCAATCATCCATTTGGTTGCATGGATCGATGTTGAAGGGATGTGGATAAAAGCTTAGAATCAAAAGGTTTTTGCGAATATTACTATTAAGTAGGGTGAACTAGTGTTTTCGGAATCACAATATGAGGTTCTACTACTTTCGGATTCACTCCTCACTCACTCCGATATCACCATATGTATCTTTGCTCCAACCACTTCAATGTCCTTCACTTGTTTCGACATTTTTGGAAGCCTTTGCAAAGTCTCCGTCTAAAATCCATTCCAACACCACTTGACTTATGGTTTTGACATTCTGGCTTACTTCTGCGAGCTTTCTGCTTTTTTCAAAGGTGGCAAGATCATCATTACATAATGTCTCTACATTAAATGCCACTTCATAGCTTCAAATAACCCTTTTACCATAGCTATCAAAAAAATGGTGCCTCGTATCGATCATCCAACCCATACCCAATAAATAAGCATTTCCTCTTGGGAAAATAAAACTACACCTAAGTTTTTGATTCATCGTTGAAAGTAACATTATATCTCAGACCGAACGTTAAAGATATCAAAGTTAGCATATAAATATCTAAATGCATAAGTTCGAGCTTTTATGCTTTCTGAACTTGTCATCAAACGTGACCTTATGTTTACCCAAAACACAAAGTTCACATAATTCTGAAGCAAAAATGCTTCAAATCCGAAAATATTCCATTCGTGACAACATCTTTATCCCCTTCTCACTCATATGCAGCCTTTGGGGGCACATAGTAAAAGCATTCGAGTCTTTGACTGTAAAGTTTACTTCACTTGTTGAAAAAATTGACTATACATAAAGTTTATTGCTTTGTACCTTGATAGGCTAACAAGTTCTTGGTTGTTACCTTCCACAGTTCCACTGATAATTCCCAAAATCAACATGGTGTCATTCTTCATCCAACTATCCCACCGATATCAACAAGTTGTTCAAGTTTGAAATATTTGACGTTTTTCAACGTCCAATTCGAACCCAAAGTTTTATTGAGGAGGACATCCTCAACTCTTGTAATATCGAGGATCTTATATATTGTCTCTGTGTGGAACCTTGCCTCTATAATGCTTGAAATTCTACATCACATCTCTACAGTGATTTGTATGAAATGAAGCACTTGAATCTATGATCCAGGATTTGATAAAACTCTTAACACAACAAATAAGGACATCTCTGTTAAAATCCAATGCTACAATGTCTGGAATCCCTATGAACCGAGTGAACTGAAATCATTTTCATGTAATGTTCCTCTTCTCAACAATGATACATCGACAATGTTCCCAAACCTGCACAACAACTTCCAAAGACCTATGTCGTTCACACCTCCAGAAGGTTGGTGAGAAGAGGCATGTTTTCTTTCTTCCTACGTTGTCTAGCTACAAAGTGGAGGGTGACCTCTTCTCTGTATTGAGTAATGTCTTTCTCATTGCTCAAATGAAAGTTGTACATCATATTTATACAAGCTAGGCAATATACGAAATGGGCCTATACAAATACTATATGATGGGCTACAACTACTACATGATGGGCTAAGAATACTATATACTAACATCCCCCCTATTCTTTTAACGAGAAAAGAAACATGGACATTTAAATTGGATCGAAAGTCCGTAAAAAGAGATGTAGAGAGCCCCTTCATGAAGATGTCGGCATACTGAGCCGAAGATGGCACATGTAAAACACAAATTTGTCCGCGACCAACTTGGTCACAAATAAAGTGAATGCCAATCTCTATATGTTTGGTTCGTTGATGTTGAATTGGATTAGCATTCATGTAAACGACATTAATGTTGTCACAGTAGATGATGGTTTCCTTGTTGGTGGGGCATCGCAGTTCGCATAGGAGGTTATAGATTCAACTAGTGTCAGCGCCTGCGTTGGCAACAATATGGTATTCTGCTTCGGCGCTGGATCGAGAGACAACTCCCTGATATTTGGAAGACCAAGATATGAGATTGTCTCCGAGGAAAACACAATATCCCGATGTAGATCTACGAGTAGTGGGACATCCCCCCCCCCCCAGTCAGCATCAGAATAGGCAACTAGGTTGGCAGTGGGGGATATGTGAATCTGGAGACTGTGGTTAATGGTGCCACGAAGGTAGCGTAAAATGCGCTTGAGATCATGAAGATGTGGCTCTCGCTGGTCGTGTATTTATAGGAAAATCTGTTGAATGGAAAAGGAAATGTCGGGTCTTGTGAATGTCAAGTACTGAAGTGCACCTACTCGACTGTGATATAAAGTGGGATCAGAAACTGGAGTGCCAAATGAGTCTAGTTTGTGAATCGGTTCCATAGGAGTGCGACATGGGTTACAATTCATCATCTTGGTACATTCTAGTATGTCAGTGGCATACTTATGTTGAGATAAGAAGAGACCGGTGTCAGAACATGTAGCAGAGATACCAAGAAAATAATTCAGAGAACCAAGATCAATCATAGCAAATTCGCGACTGAGCTGGGATATAATATGTCTGAGAAGATCTGTGGTTGAGGCTGTTAGAATGATATTATCAACATAAAACAGAAGATATGATGTGGATGTCGTAGTTTGAAGGATAAATAAGGATGAATTTGTGTGACTTTGCTGAAAACCGATGTTGGTGGCATGATGAGCAAAACAGTGATACCATGCTCTAAGTGCTTGTTTCAGGCCATAAATTGATTTCTGCAATAAAGAAACATGGTCAGAAAACTAAGAGTCACGGAAACCAGGAGGCTGGTGCATGTATACTGTCTCCTGTAGATGGCTGTGAAGAAAGGTGTTCTTCATATCAAGTAGATGTATGGGCCATTAGCGTGAAACCGCATGCTGAGAACTGTACATATGATAACCGGACTAAATGTCTCATCACATTCCACCCCTTGTTGTTGACTTCGACCGTTCGCTACAAGTTTGGATTTGTAGCGTGATAATGTACCATCTATATCAAACTTGTGGTGAAAGAGCCACATATACCGAACAATGTTGACCCCTTGAGGTCATGGTACAAGCTGCCAAGTTCTATTAGTAATAAGAGCATTATATTCATCATTCATTGCTTTTTTCCAGTTAGGGTCCTGTATTGCCTGTAAGTGAGATCGGGGAACAGGAGAGATAGAAACAAAGGTTGTGTGAAGGTTGAGACGCTGGATGGGTTTGACAATACCGCTTTTGGTGCACGTTGTCATGGGATGAGTTGGATGAGAATCCATGGTTTGAGGATGATTTGTGGGATTCGGGGAGGGTGGTGAGTCATATATGTGATGTTGGTTAGTAGAAGATGTGTTTTGAGAAAGAGGTGGTTCATTGGTAGTGGTAGGGTCCTCAGTGGACTTTAAATTTGAGGGAGAAGGTGTTGTGTTGATATGGAAAAAAGGAGGAGATTGGTCGGTTGAGTCATCAAGGAAAGTGTAGGATGGAGGTTCGTTTGGTGTGACAGATTTGAAAGGAAAGGTGGTTTCATCGAATATAACATGACGAGAGAGAATGATTTTACGGGAGGACAAGTCAAGGCATCAGAAGCCTTGGTGATTGGAGGGGTATCCTAAAAATACACATGGGGATGAGCGTAGGGAAAGTTTGTGGGGAGTAGTGAGATGATGAAAGCATAATGAACCAAAAACACGAAGGTGTGAGTAACTGGGGTGAGTTTGGAATAGGCAAAAATGAGGGGTGTCATTTCGAATCGAGGTTGATGGAAAAATATTTAATAAATGAGCGGCCATGTGGAGTGCTTCCATCCAATATGTGAGTGACATGTGGGCTTGGAAAAGGATGGAGCGAATGGAGTTATTTATGGTGCGTAACATGCGTTTAGATTTACCATTTTGTTGGGAATTATGAGGGCATGAAAAACGGAATTGAATGCCATGAGTTGCAAAATGGTCATGAAATTGTTTGTTGTTGTATTCACCCCCATTATCGTACTGAAAGGATTTGATGGTTTTATTGAATTGATTTTTGATGTAATTGGAGAAAAAATGAATTTAGAAAAGATATCAGATTTTCGTTTTAATGGGTAGACCTAAAGATAATGAGAGTAGTGGTCTAAGAATATAACATAGTAGCGCAAACCACTAGTGCTAGCAATTAGAAAAGTCCATACATCAGAGTGAATACTATCAAATATATTGGAAACCCAAGTAGTTGATAAATCAAAAGGAAGTTTAACATGCTTTCCAAATTGGCATAAATTACATATAACATCAAAATTTGGCTTATTACAAGAAATGGAATTATTGGAAATTAAGTGTTGCACATTTTTATTGCCGGGGTGCCCGATACGTTGATGCCAAATGGAGTGACTTGCGGAAATGTGTGCTTGAGGTGATGAAGGAAGGGCCGGATAGAGAGGGTCATCACTGTCACATCGGATTAGGAGTTTCTTGGTCATGTAATCCTTGACAGTAAAACCAAACTCATCAAATTCAATGGAACATTTATTTTCACGAGTAAATTTGCGAACATAAATAAGATTTTTAATTATGGTGGGTGTAATGAGAACATTGTGAAGATGAAGTGGTCGGTGTGAATTATATAAAGGAAAAAATGAATGTTCGATATTAGTTACAAGAATATGGGACCCGTCACCAACTAAAACAGAATAAGAAATATGATTATGACTAAGGGAATCGAGAATACCTTCATTGGCGTGAACATGGTCAGTGGCTCCGGTGTCCATGATCCACTAATTTTTGCTCGGGTCTTGAAGTGACATGGAAGAGAACATTTGTGGGAGAGTGGTAGGTTGTTGAAGAGAACATTTGCTCGGGTCTTGAAGCTGTGATGTGGGTCTATGGTCTCGAAAGGGGGTGGGCCAAGTAACCCTTGATGATGGTGATGGGTGCTGTTGGGCCATTGTTGGCTATTGGGTTGTGCATGCCATTGATTTTGGGATGGAGGAGCAATGTAGACCCAACCTATAAGGATGAATCGATGAAACAGAGAGGTAGCGTGGCCGACTATTTTTGGGTGACTGTTGTTGGTCGGCTTGAGGAGGCTGCTATCGGCGGTCCTTGGGTGGGTGGCGACGGTCATTTCGACGGTCACCCCTCCGACTTTTGTTGTATTTTCCGGCGACATGAAGGAGTTTTGAAGATGAGGAGTTTTCGGTGTGTGTTGGAGCAGGAGAGAAACGTGGCTAGTTGAAGCGACTCTCTTCCAACACAAGGATGTAGCGGGCTTCTGATAATGTAGGGAACGAGACACAATGATGGATAATGGTTGTAATATTATCAAAGCGTGGGGAGAGACCATTAATTGTGTAGATAACAAGGAGCTTGTCAGAAATCTTTGAGTTTGCATCTAAGTTTTCAAGAAGATCGGCGACATTCTGAATTTTTGTGCAATAGGCTTGGATCGAAAGATCTCCCATGGTGATAGATCGAATTTCACTATCAAGCTGAATAATACGAGAGTATTTGTTATCCCGTAAGAGTTTCTCGATGTTGAGCCAAAGTTGGCGAGCAGGTGTGTTGGTCTTAATGACGGTATTGACAAGATTCTAAGACAGGGTATATAGATCCATGTACGAACCACAACATCAATTGTTTTCCATTGAGGGTCAGTCGATTTGGGGGATGGATCGTCACACGTTTTGTCGATGTGGTCGAGGGTGTCGTATGCTTCACAGTGGGTGAGAAAGAACTCTCTCCATGTGTCATAGTTGTGCCGCTCAAGGTCAAGAAGTATGGGAATATGTGCCTTGATGTGAAGTGGAGGTGAAGATGTATCAGACATGGAGACTGATGGTGGAAATCGTAGAACACAAGATTTAGGGTTTGAGGGAGCGACAGGAGGCGTTGTTGGGAAGAAACGTGAGAAAAAAGAAAAAAAAAGGAAACAGAGAGAAGAGAGGAGGTAAATTAGGAAGATTTGAAAATAGTCTCTTATACCATATTGAGTAATGTCTTTCTCATTGCTCAAATGAAAGTTATACAACATACTTATACAAGCTAGACAATATAGGAAATAGGCCTATACAAATATTACATGATGGGCCAAGAATACTATATACTAACACTCCGCCGTACCCTTCTAACCCTACTCTCCAACCAATTGCATCACCTTTCCATTAAATATGATGATTTGTTCTATTATCTAACATTCTCATATTTGGTTATTTAGTTACCATTAACTTTTTTTTTTTCTAAACTAATTAAATACTCTTTTGATCAAATCCTACAAATTTTGACCGGATAAAGAATGCCGGGTCGTAAGTGGTTTTGTATTTTTTTTTTCAGTTAATTTAATAATTTGGTTCCTATAGATCGCAAGTAAAGCAATTTAGGTTTTTTACCATTAATGATCGGATCCAAAAACGGGTTGACGATAACCCAATTAGTATGGCCACACCGTATGTCATTTCAAGGAGCCATATACAAATCCAAAACACCTGCAAATATTTTTCAACTTGTTATGTAATTTGAACATATCAAAATTCTATTAGAACTCGTCCCAAAAGCTCATAATTAGTTGGAACTGACCGGTTTTTGCCCGATTTGCAATGCAATTGAGTTGATACCATTTAACTTATCTCCTTCAACATCTGGAATGTCCTGAAACTCATATTTTGTATATAAGTATACTATCAACCTCAAAAGCTCTAAGATAATTTTATGCTATTTATTTTGAGAATAGTCTCGTGTACCTTAAATAGTGCGATAACTATCCCATATATGCTCATGAATCCGGATACAAAAATGGCATGCTGTGAAAGTAAGAGTGGCCTTCCGTATATGTTTGTCTGCAATACTCGTTGGTAATCAATAACTTTTGTGCTTATTGAATAAAATATTTACATATGTCAAGATTTATAATTTGACGAAATTCTGTAAATAGTCAACCTGTGCATGAAAGGTGGAACAAAATAGGAATGATAGCTCCTTGAACTGACCAAAGGCACATTGCAGCAAGCGCAGGAATACTCTTCCATCTTAGTAATGGCAGCTACAAGTATGCAGAACTAAACTTGAGATAGAAGGTTTCTATGATCGAAGGTAGACACTTCTAATTAACGTTAGAATTTTATTTAACATGCATAGATAAAGAAAGACTCACATGAACTGAATAGGCAGTTCCAAAAGCATACCATAACAAGAGACCTAACTTCAACGGCCAAGATTTAGTACTCCATCCGAGGAGAAAACCCTATAACGACAAAAAAAATAACAATGTTCTTTACAAAAAGAAAAATATTTCATAAAGTTTATTTCTTTCTGTGTGTAATTCTTGATTTTACTTTACTTTTTAGTTTGTGGAGCCTACCAAAATAGCGTACAATGAGGTGAGTAGAATGCCGGTTTTTACTGAAAGCTCCCCTGATGCTAATGGCAAATATGGCTTGTTAACCTTGTCGACATCAATATCAGAGAGTTGATTTATGCCGACGACATATAAATTGGCTAAACAACCACCAATGATTGCCTGAAATGTATTATGTTGAATCATAGTGATGATAAACAAAAGTAATACATAGAATGATTTAATTTTACTTTAAAAAAATTAATGATGCAAGAAGCAAACCTGCAAAACTCCAAGGAAAAATGACGGAGTAATATCGGAAAGCTTCTGGACGGCAAGCAAAGAAATTGAAATAATGGATAAGACCTGTTCAAGGTAAAACATAGCTCATATACAAAATTCCATATAAGAAAAAACTTGAATATAATATATACGTACACCAAGGATGAGTGTAGGCGGGTACCCACCTTAAATGTTTCGAACCGGAACCTGAACCAGAACCGAAAATGACCGTTCCTAGAATTTTGGTATGACACGGGTTTCCAATTCCGGTTCCGATACTGGTACCCAGTTTGTGTTCTTTTTAAATTTTTTTAAAATTTTATGTGTACGAAACTTACAGTAAAAGTATTTGTGATATTAAGATGTAATTTGGAAGCCTCTTTTAACTAATCAAAGATCTAGATAACAAATAAAATAACGACTACTATAGCCTAGGTATGTGTTATTGAGAATTTTAGTATTGTGGGATTGAATATTCATATATTAATTAATTTACACTCATTCACTAATTTGTTTAATGAATTTTATTGTTGCTAATTAATTAGGTTTTACATGAATAAACATTGGTGGAGTGATAGTAAGAATAAGAAATTGTACGGTTCCTTTGAGCGTGTAAGCTCTTGAATATCTGTAAATAAGATCCAACGTAGCTCCAAGTGTTTTGCCATCTTTTTCGGGAGGAGCAACCCCAGAATCATGTGCATTGATAGAAAATTCAGAGCTAGCGTTTGCCTGAAGTTTGGATCCTCTTTGATGTCGATGAAATTCTGAGCAATACTTGTTGGCACTTTCAGGATCATTCAGTTTATAATCGTGTAGATGATTCGATCTCTTAAATGTAACATTAGAGTCCCTCAATCTAATGGTTTTCCACACTTGAACCTTTGATACTTTTACTTTCCCATGACCTAAACACATATAAATATAAATAAAAAATCCTTTTACATTTTGTTCCTATCTATCTATATCATGTCAAGTGTCAAGTGTAGAAAAGATTAAAAGAGAGATTTAACAGATTCCGTATATTAGTATTTTATACGCGCATATGAAGATGGGTAGAAACAAAATATATGAAGATATTTAATTTTTCTATAGATAGATAGTTGATGGTAGTTTTTGATGTCATTTAATTGGTTTAAATTTTGTAATTTACTAAACAACTCGTAGAAAATAAAGTATAATTCAAAGGTGTGATCGATGGCAGAATTAGATGTGAAGTTATGTTTGAAAAGAAGGAAAAAAGATTACCAGACCCAACTGCAGTTGCCACCAATGGAGTTCGTAAAGAACATGAAGACGGTTTTAGAGCAAACCCAATCGGCATTGATTTCATCTTTTTCCAAATAAAACCAAACCATGAGAAATGGAAAGCCTTTCTGTTCTATGTAGCGAAGAGTCATATATATTGGTTATATCTAAGAAAACAGTTAGATGTTGCCTGTTCAATAGATTGTTTATAAATTAATCAAAATTACAATCAATGACTAGCTTCAATTCTTGTCCGGCCTAAATGTATTTCATTGAGAACTCCAACGACTTATCCATCTTAATTCGTTGGTTTTCTAATGGATTTAAGCTTTCAATCTATTTGTCAATTCATTTAAAAGCTTATTTTATAAAAAGTTATTGGCTTTCATAAGGACTCACAAGCGAACCACGTCATGGTAGTGATAGGGTAAGGCAATATGACACAAAGTCACCATTGATAGGTTCCTGTCTTTTCTTATTATTATTTTAAATATTAAATGCTAGACCATTGGATTAACCGGAAGTAATATAAACTCCAAACTTAAAAGTTAAATGATTTAACTAAAATGGTGTGTAATAAATGTTTGTAATAAATGGTGTGTAATAAACTTAAAAGTTAAATGTCTAAAGCAACAAATATAACTAAAATGGTGTGTAATAAATGAACAAATTATTTTGATAGGCTCCTTTTATTTGTTAACTAAAATAAATAAAGAATAATGAACTAAAATTTTATTCTGATAAAACTTCATAAATAGTCCTTTTGGTTTTCTAAAATTTTTGTTTTATCCTAAAACTTCAAAAAAAATTCATGGAAGGTCCTTCTTGTTTTCAATTTCTATCGTGGTCGGTCTCTTACCTACATAAAAAAATTATACCATTTTTTTCATAATTAAGTTTAACTAAAAATTTCAAAAAAACAAAATAAATAACCTCCGAAATCCCCGCCCTTAGGCTATATATATATATATATATATATATATATATATATATATATATATTATATATATTATATATATATATATATATATATATATATATATATATATATATATGGCGTAAGGGCGGGGATTTCCCTTGTTCTTCCTCTCTGCAACCCAAACTCACCAACAACCACCATTGTGAGACCACCATTAAACGATGATGTCAGTATACAAACTACACCCACCCCATCCAATATATCACTCTAATTATCTTTTTTTTCTTTATCACAGTGAAAGAACCCTAATCTCAAGCAAATTATCGTCGCCTCTAAAGCGTCGGCCTCAGCGACTAACTCTTACCCGTTGTGTGTCGATCGTCCACCATCTTTTGTTCACTCCCTTTTTCTATCATCCACCAAAAAAGATCACCAACCGCAAGATCAAGAACCTTTCATCGTCTTCACTCTTTTATAAAAAAACCATCGCCAAAAAATGACATCCCCGGAAAACGAAATTATCGATCTTTTCTGCGTCTTTGTTCTGCCAAATCTCACCCATCTGTGATATCACAGGCACCTATTTACGACCATCGTAGCCAGATGGATTCCAAATCATGATATTGAAATCATTACCTCTATTCCACCAAATCCATTAGGCATCAATTCACACACTACATAGATGAAAAAATCCATATGAAGAAAAAAATCCAAACGAGCAAAAACACCGCATATGACATAAAAAATGTTCTTCCTTTGCTTTTTGGAATCCAGATTAAGAAAAAAAATCATATGAATAAACAAAAAACTAGGTTTTGCAATTGCAAGTAATAAAAAGGAAGAAATGAAGTTGAGATCTAGTAGTTGTTAGGATTTTAAATGTATATGTGCTGTTTTTGAGTTGTAATGCGAAAGGTTTTGTAGTTATCTATTTAAGTCTTCAGTATTTGAATTGCCACTATTGTTCAGAAAGTATTTTTAGTTTCAAAGTGTTTACACCTAGGTTTCGCAGTGAATTTTCCTAACTGTTTTAGAGGCTGTCACTGATTAGGTGTTTTGTTGTTATTGGTTAGTTTCTAACCAACTTCCTAGGTTGTGAACCTACATAGAGGGATGTTAGTTAGATAAAGAGGATACTTTTTTCCAAGTTCTTACGATAAATATTGTAACAGGCTTCAAATTCTCTAAATGAAAAACAAATCTTTTTTACCTTTGTGTGTTTAATCTTTTCATTGCTTTTAACATGATTTTTATCTTTTAGAATCTATTTGATACTACAAGTAGTATCCAGAGCAAGGATTTCTTTGAGATGATTTCAAATCTCCAAATACTTTTGTGTTCTTTGAGTTTCTTGTTTGTTATTTTCATTTTATAGATCTATTCCATAATTGTAATTCATTTGCAATTTGATCTGGAATTTCTTGTTCTGAAATTCGTTTTGATTTGAATATCTATTAAAGTTCATCAATTTTATTCATTGTTTAATTTGTTTTTGAAATGTAATGTCCCGATTTTCAAACAAAAAGTTTTCATTTTTATTTATTCAATTATATTAGAGTATAGTTACATTATGCAGAAACATGTTGTGAATGCGTGTGTGTATAGTCGAACCTTGCCCTCCTCACAAATCATTGAAGTAACTGAAAAACATTTATATTCAACTTGTTAAGCACGATGCTTAGTGAGTTCCCTAAAATACCACATACCATAACCCATATACATGTATACAAATAATAGCTTACGATATTCCAGTAATATGTTTATGTTAGACTTACATCTGGTCTATTTCATCTTCAACACACGTCTATATGTACTTACAGCCTACATATCATTTCGTCAACATAGTTCTATGTATACTTATTGATGGGTTTTGAGCACTATAACAACCTTATGGTGCACATACAACCCTAATGCTTTGGATCTAAGTTTTCTCTAATTATACATGCAATATTGTTTTCCACAGCATGAAGCCTAACTAGATACAAAATTTGGTATATGAATCATAAAAACTAGTTAGAAGAATACCTCTTGTTGTAGCTTGTTGTATTTGGCCTTTAAGAACTTAACACCTCAAGTGTGATGCCGCAAATGGTTCACAAAACACCACCAACAATTGGAGAACTTGAGATAGAGGTTGGAGGCACTCAAAATCGGTTATAGCTTCTCTAAGAAGACTATTTTGTGTGATTTTAGGCCAAGGGGTTACATATATATAGTGTAGAATTCCAAGGGTTCTCTGTAAACGCTAATTCTTACACTTGGGCTTGAAATGGACTAAACCTTTATGGATCCTTACATAAGCTTAGCCCATCACTAATCAATCATGGATTATTAGCCCAACCTATATGTATCACTGATTTACACAATCAGCCCCTGTATATTTAATTAGTCTCTTTTGATCACTAAATTAATTCCAAAATAATTATTGATCAATACTAATTAAATAATATGATTCCTCAATTAATATATTATACTTATAATATATGAATAATGTCACACCCCAAAACCAAGAACGGCGGAAACGTTCAGGGGTGGAGGACGTCATGTAAAGTATCATAACAGTGCAAAGTAGTAAACAAGCAACAACATCATCCATTGCATTAAAAGTAAAGTTTTAATACATGAGTGTTCTTTCATTGTAATAAGACACCAAATATGTAATCAAAATAAAAGACGAGTCTTGTCTGTGCTCCGTCTTCTCAAAACCTGGTCATCGTACCTGTCTACTGGTGACCTGAGAATACAAGTTATTTTGAAAGTGTAGATCAGCATAAAGCTGGTGAATTCATAAGTATTTAAGTGTCATTGATTTGGAAAGCTGTTATGAAAAACATGCATTTGTTGATGAAACATTTGATATAAGTGTGAAAACCCTAGAAAATTCCATATTTCCTACTAGTATAAAAGTAGTCTTCTACCAAGACCTGACTGTTTTGAAAGTAGTCTTCTACCAAGACCTGACTGTTTTGAAAGTAGTCTTCTACTGTTTTGAAAGTAGTCTTCTACCAAGACCCGACTGTTTTGAAAGTAGTCTTCTACCAAGACCCGACTGTTTTGAAAGTAGTCTTCTACCAAGACCTGAATGCTTTGAAAGATGTAATTCTACTTCAAAGATGGCTTTTCCCTTGTGTGACTATTATTATAAATGTATAGTCTACCTCATCGTTTATGTGAATGTGTCACAAAATAAAGGTAATAATATAATTATATAAGTATTAGTCTACCTCGTCGTTTATGTGAATGTATCACAAAATAAAGGTAATAATATAATTACTTAAGTATTATCCTTTTGCACTAGGATAAACACGGCATAGAAATTACCGAATAGTATTAACCGTAGACATCCGTAGATGTGCATTTACCTCTGTTGCTAACAGCTGGGTGTAGGAATAGTTAGTCCCTTAAAGTATACCTATAATGGTATCAACCGTAGACATCCGTAGATGTGCATTTACCCCTGTGGCTAACAGATGGGTGTAGGAATGGTAAGTCCCTTACAGTATCCTTTTGTACTAGGATAGACAGATCCAAACTATACATATAATATGTAATAGTATCTCACCATATAGTATCTAGGTAAAAGTATCCATGTAAGAGGATCCATGTAAGTGTATCCATGTAAGAGGATTCATGTAAGTGTATCTCTTCATATAGCATTTACTATAGACTCATGAATGAACTGACTCTGGTGTAATTCCTTGTAATAGGAATAAGGTTTTGTATCCCCTAAACTATTCCAATAATAGCTTACTGGAATGTAATTGATGTTCAAGAAGGTTTATACACCCTTGCTACTCAAGAGTGTGGGAACTGAATGAAAGATGAAAGCTCTCATATCAATACATATATTTATGAAAGATAAGTGTATAGATATGGTTTTTAATAATGAGACAGAAGAGGTTTTGTAAACATTAAGAATTTTGAACAATAAGTAATACTGACTTGATGTCATTTCTTAAAACGTTTCAAACGTAAATCATTTGATAACAAAGTATAACAGTCAAAACCGTTGTTTTTATCACATTTTGAAGTATGTGAAATTAGTTGGTTGAAAACACAGTTATAAATCACATATGATTGATTCTACAACATGCTGTTTTCTACTTGTATTTCCCCCCCCCCTATTAAAGCATTTAAAATCACTTAAAAGGTTGATTAAGGGGTAT